TGGTTGTTCGATTAATTATGGGGCAAGTTGGTTAGGCAAGTTGGTCAGGCAAGGCTCAGTAGCATCTCAAGTATTTCATCGTATAAGATTTACATTTATTGAGTGCAATGAAACCGCATATGCTTGCTATTACTTGGTTTATGCATCTACTGTCTTTATGCATGTGAAAACCCGTGAAACTCACCAACTCTTTGTAGTTGACTCTGTTTTATGTCATGATTTTCAGGTACTAAGTAAGTTATGTGGACTCTGGGAGCATTACTTGGATCACATCGATTAAGACAGTTTTTATTGTATTCGAAAATACTTTTGTAACCTTGGAATACTGTTAAGTCGATGAACTATTTATTGTGAATCTTTGTAAAATGTGTTTCTCTTAAACTGTTGCTAAGACTCGCTTGTCTGTTAGCATCCCGTGTTTCCGCTTTAGCGGGGTGTGACACTTATAAAAATTATGTTTCTAGATTAAAAGATTTTCATATTATTTTCCTTGAATAACACTAGAAGTTGAAATGTGTTGGAGGCGTACGCATCGGGACTGCCTCACCGTCTCACCCCTCACAGACCGTGTCAAGCCACCAAGGAGTACGCACACTCTCCAGCCTAAGAGCACCACCTCAAATACGTTTTCTGACCGCCTTGCCTCGAGAGTTTTTAGCAACCATGGATCCCACTAAGAGTAATTTTTCATGATAACAACATAAAATCCAACCAACTAGTTTAAAGGTGCTAAAGTGCTCTCTCATTGCTCGAGTACAAAGATTAGACCAAAAATGAGAGACAATGGCCAAGATAGACAAAAGAAATGAGAAATAAATAGTATGCAATAACCCTGAAAATTAGAGTTAGTAGGACGTTGCCGGTGACTTCACCTTTACGGTGCCACGACCACCTCCCCTTCTCCAAAACCACCTCCTCTACCCTCTTTCACCATAGAGCGCCCCCTTCACCTCCTTTCATTATTTTCGGTGAAACCTTAGAACCCAAAATCCCTCGTCTCCAGTGAAACACCCCCATCCCCAACAAAACCTCAAACCCTAGCACCCCCATCTACAGTGAAATGCCCCTATAATATTAATAGTAGGTGACGATCATGGTAAACTCAAAAACGGAAAAATAAAACAGTGTGCTAAGGCTTCTCGGAAAAGATGGAAACTTGCATCGAGTAATTCATTGCGTCTTCTGTACAATCCTGTTTCTTTCTTTTCTTCAAATCAAATTGCTATATTAGCTAAGGGCAACTCCAACCATTACACTAAAAAAACACCAAAAACACCAAATCTGGTGGGCCCATAAACACCAAAAAAAAAACTCAACTCCAATCACAGTATTTATAATTTGTAATAGATATTATAATAATAAAGAATTAGTAATTAATTTATTTAATGAAGAAATGTTAAAATAAAAACGATAAAATTGTAATTAATAAATTTTATATTTAAAAAGATTACATTAGTTCAAATAGCACAAATTAAAAAAAACACATAAATAATACTAATTCTCCGAGTTAGTATACTCGTCTCACAAATGATCAATTAATGCATTACGAAGTTCAAAGTGAGCATCTTTATCCTTGATCTTTTTGTGTCGAGCAAGAAACTGTTCAAGTCCACCATCGTTCATCATCTCAACTCCCACGTCTTGCACTTCACTTCGTTCTTCAATTGCTGCATTAATATCACATTCATCTTCTATGATCATATTATGCATAATGTAGCATCTGCAGCCACGCCATATGCCAACATTCGAAATACAGCAGTAACTTTTTGATAACCGGACTACCCAAGTTTGCCGCATCCATCCCTTCGTTGGAAAAAGTAGTTGTCATGACTTTGGACAGCATCCAAAATACGAACAAATAAAGTACGAGACTTTTCAACAAAGAAGATTGCAAAATATAGTTGAGTTATTTTCATTGAGCTGTGATTCACGTTTTATAGTGAGAATCAGTGGTGTTGTCAATTCTTACCAGACTTTTTAGAAGAATCTTGCCAGACTTTTCAGAAGAATATTGCCAGACTTTTCAGAAGAATCTTGCCAGACTTTTCAGAAGAATCTTGCCAGTGTGTTGCCTAATCTGTTTTCATTTGTAATGAACTGAAATTTTTGTGTATAAATAGGGGGCGAGTTGGTAAGCTAAATCACACATATTACCAGCCTTTTCATAAAAATGTCTTCAACAAGCCGAACTTCATCCTACAAAGATAACGAAGACATACAACTATGTCATTGTTATCTTATGTCTTCGTTATCTTGATATAACTCAAAATCCAATAATATGTAGAAACCAATCAAAAGATAAGTTTTGGTCAAGAATAGAAACTCTTTATCACCAAACCAAACCGTTCGCAACCAATCCTCGACCAAGAAGATCATTGGAAACGAGAATGTCTTGCATTCTAAAAGCTTGCAAAAAAATGCGAGGGTGTATCAATCAAGTTGAAATGAGGAATCCAAGTGGTGCTTCTGAACAAGATATCGTAAGTATTTATTGTTTTACTTGATCATTGTTTTATTAATTTAAATATAACGTGTATTTTTCATAGATGAACGAAGCGAAAGAGCTGTTAAAACTTGATGGATCCTATAAGAAGGGTTTTAAGTTTGATCATGTCTGGAAAATCTTGAAAGACTCCGAGAGTTTATCAAATGTCACTGCATCAACTCAGTATCAACGACAAAGTCCTTATCAATCACCTTCTTCCGGTCCTGGTTCATCGTCTGGGACAGATGCCGGTTTACCGTCGTTGACTATTCATGACGTAGAAGGTACTCAAAGACCAATTGGTGTGAAAAAGGCAAAATCAAGGCTACAATCTGATAATAAGCTAGAGACTTTAGTTAAGGCAAGTAAAAAAATGAGCAAACAAATGGCTAAAACCACTGAAGTTATGATACGAAGGAATGAGCTTCAAGCTCAGAAACTTGCATTAGAGGCAAGGTTGGCGGATGACAAACTTATGTGCATCGATCTAACCTCTATCACTGATCCTGTGCGGTATGAGTTCATAAAAAATGAGAAAATTCGAATAGCGAGAGAGAGAGCGCAACCCCAGGTTCATATGTTTGGACAAGGATCAGAATTCGTAGCATCTCAATATCGAGTATCTCAACATCAACAATTTGGAGCAGCTCAAAACCAACCCGAAGGATCTCAAAACGTAGCAGGAAGCTTTAGTCAGTTTATGCCTAGCGGAGACGATTGGACCATTTAATTTATGTATTTCAGTTTTTAAAATTTCTATTAATAAAATACGTTTACGTTTATCCGGTATCATATTTGTGTTATTAATAATTTATTATATATATATATATATATAAATTTAAATAATAAATATAAAAACCTAAAACTTAATATTTGTAATTATTTATTTATTTATAATTTATTTAAAAATCATTAAATATTGATAAAGATGGTGGGGACCACCAACTTTGGCAAGATGCCGTTCTTCTCCCCGGCATATTTGCCGTTCATTTTCAGCAACTGGTATAGATTTAGTGATTTTGGAGGTCGATTGGATCCAAAAAAAAGCAAAACTAAGGTTTTGCCGTTCGATTGGAGTTGCCCTAATACAAAACCGAAGTAGTCATCATCACACAAACTTGAAACAAAACATAAAATCAATCTTGAAAGAAATCCTAAAAGGGGGTTGTGGGTTTCAAGACAAGGGGATGTGGGTTTCGAGAAGGAGGCGATGATAGCAGCTAACAATGACTAGAGGCTCAAGGCATGACGAGACACTGTAAAGAGGCCACAAATGGGGAAGGTTTCCCAAGGAGACCAACATCTTTGATCTTTCTTCTTCTTCTTCTGTGTTTTCATTCCATGTGAATATATTTATATTTATATAATGTGTGTATATCTTTAATAGGAAAAAAAACAGACATGAAAGGACCAAAATGACCCCTGAGTTAGCTGGATTCACGAATTTGTTTAACCATTGGTGAGAGGAACCTTAGTCGTAAGAAAATAACAACCACCGAGAACCATGTCCATAATTTTTCAAGTTTAGAGACTCTAGTCGTAATTTATGACATTCCAAATAAACCAAATCCATAATTCGCACAATTTATTTTTAAGTAGTAGTCACTGTGGTTGTGATTTTTCTTTTAAGAAAACAACTTTTTTCTAGTTTTACTATTTGGCAATTGGCATTGTTATTATTATTATTGTATCCACAGACAAAAAACCATGTGAGAATAGTAGTTAAAATGAGAAACGTAAGAAGAAATCTAGACATTTGATCACTTTTGATCTCATCCCCAACCCCATGAATTGTTTTTCTTATAGGAATTGATTCGGTGCATCTCATTAGTTTTCAATTATGATTTATCCTAGGGTTGGGAATTGATCCCGTCCATCTCATCAGTTTTCAATTACGATTGATCCAAGGGTGAGATCAATCTTACCATTCTCACTATAACTTTCATTCCCACTGAAACTCAACCATGTTTCTACAACTCATTTTCATATAAATAAGTTGACATGAAACAAAAAGGGGTTCCATAAGCCACCATCTTTTAACAAAAAAGATTCTTGATTTGTACAACCCCGTATCAGATACTACACTAACATAGAATCTCGAGTAACAAAAAACAGCGAGACTTAACTGCTAATCAAGTAAACTTCCAACGAGACGACGATGATAATGATGATGTATCTTGATTGGTCTCTAAAATGCTTTTAATCCATTTTATTCTGTTTGCAAGTTCCTCCAGGTCTAATATCGTTGCTTCTAACGTCTCTTCATGCATCATATTCAGCTCTATGCTGCTGCTGTACTCTGCCGAACCGACAACAACTTCTTCTTCTTTACTTTCTTCAACATGCAATGTCGATATACTGTCTTCTGAAGAAGAAGAAGAAGAAGAAATAACAGCTTTTCCATCCATTTTCACTTGTTCCGAGTTCATCTTATTTGCTTCTTGCTGTCTTTCTCTATCTCCTCCTTCAATTGCAATTGCTGCAGATATACGAGAAGTAGAAGATGCCTCCTCCCTCTCAGAATCCAAGCCTAAAACATGTACCCATCACCATCCTACTAATTGGAAACACAGACATGTAAATAAAATTGCCAACTGTTCTGTTGCCTTACAATTTACTTCATCTTGCTGTGATGGAAAAATAAGTTGTGCGCTACATGAACTCTGACCTTCCTGCATGTCAAATCTAGCATCAATAACCACAAGCTTAAATTCACAGAAAAGATGCATGAAAACATGACATGGGTAAACCACAAGGGTTGTGGCGCAGTGGTTGAGGTCCTGGGTGATGTGGTGGAATATCTCATCTGCCCAGGAACAATTGTGGCCATTGAATTTATCAGGACTGATTTCTTGCAGTCACAATTTGCCAGGATTAGTGGCGTAGCCTGGGACACCTTTCAAAAAAAAACATGACTAGCGTAGGAACAGGTTAGAAGATACGAAAAACAAAATAAACTGATTTGAATCACATTGAGAACAAAATATAAGAATCAGGAAGCTATAGGCATCCATATGTAATACTCCAGAAAAAAGAATAAATATGACAATCAGGAAGCTATAGGCATTTTAACATTCAACAGTGAGATAATTGTAATCCAACACAAGTAACTGTTCCCTTAAACTTGATATATACTCCCAAACTCAAGCAAATCATACATTGTTTGTCAAATACTTCCTTGGTGGGAGAATCAAAGCCCGAATGGTATATGTTGACAACATGCTTCTCACATCGAGAAGAAATGAGGAGGCTCAAGATGCTTCTATCCAAAAAGTTCGAGATTGAAGTCTTGGCCGCTCTAAAATATTTTCTAGATATGGAACTGGCAAGGAGCAGTGAAGGCATCTCAATCCCAATGCATGTATGAGATAGACCTTTTATGTGAGACTAGCATGATCAGGTGCAAACCAATTGAGACTTATGGATCCCAATACCAAGCTAAGGCCTCGGGGAGATGAATCGGCAGCTGATTAGGGACAATATCAGTGACCAGTAGGCATGCTAATATATCCAACTGAAACACTCCCTGATATAAACTTTGTTGTTGGCATTGTGAGTCGATTTCTAAGAAACCCTTGATAGATCATTTGAAGGCCGTGAACCACATCCTAAGATACTTCAAGAAAGATCCAAGGAATTCATGTTCAAAAAATTTGTCAACCGAACATTAGATGTCTATATCAATGAAGACCAGGTTGGATCTTATTGTAATGAAAGATCCACATCTAGATATTGGTCGTTCGTTTGAGGAAATCTTGTGACATGCCGCAGCAAGAGACAACCAGTAGTAGCACGAAGTACTGCTGAGGCAAAATTCCAAGCGTCAGCTTTTGGCACTTGTGAAGGAATTTGGTTACAAAGATCACTAAACGAAGTCAAGGCTGGAACCCTAGACTCTATCAGGATCATGTGTGACAACCGGTCACCCAGTTCAGCATGAGCTCACCAAGCATGTGGAGATTGATAGACACTTCATCTATGAAAAGATTGAAAACAAGATGATCTCAATCACACATGTTCCATCCAAAAGGCAACCGGCTGGCATTCCGACTAAAGCTTTATTTCAGCCCAATTTCATCCAAGTGAGTACCTTACTTGTTTTAGAGAACATGTATCCCCTAGCTTGAGGGGGAGTATAGTAAATCAAGCTAGGGATATCGATATCCTATTGTATAGCTTATTCGTGGGGATCGTTTACATAATCTGTTGATTATTTATTTAGTAGATAGAATTTTGTATTATCTCTTAGGGGCTAATTTATAGGAACCGTTTAAGGGTTGCTTGTATATATGTACATAGTGTCCTGAATTTATAGAAGCTCTTTTCTCACATCTCAAACAGCTAACAATTTTTTTAACATATGTCATACAGAAGATTCTTACAAGGATCACCCCTATGATCTCACCGGCCCTCGTTATAGTGCCAAATGACATGAAAATTAGCACTAATTGGAGTGCTTAGATTAAGAGTGTAGAATTAATTACCATTTGAGTTTGACTCTCCTTTATAAAATTAGTTATGCTTGTTCTCCAAGAATCCCAAAAACATACTAGGGGATTGGACAAACCACTTCTCACACCCTCTACTAATATCCATGGACCGTATTGGTTAGTTACTTCTACATGTCCTTGATCCCTCCAAATTATTTTGACTTAAAGCGTGTTGCACACTCAAGTTATTAGTTCCTCCAAGGTTCACACACCATCTAGGTCAGTTCCAGGTGCATGGGATTTTGCCTAAGCCTTCCTTTCACCTATCTCTCAGTTTTTTGGACTTGTTCTTTCTGCCCCTTCAACTATCATACTAAGAGCGGCATATTGCTCCAATGCCCCAGCATAGAAGTACTTAACCGAAAGGCTTAAACATATAGGACTTGAAGTGAGGTGACTCATAACATATGGTACCATATGGCAAACCACCCAAATCTATTGAGAATTTGCATCAATTTGCATGCATCTGGGCTAAGGAGTATGTGTAAGTGTGTTTCCTATGCTAAACTGTTTCCATAATAAGATTTAAGCACTTCAAGCAAGTCTCAAATATTTAATAAGATATAACTCTCTTGTTAAGTACCCTTTGACATAAAACGCCTGCAACTTTTTTCTATTAGCCCTAACCCTCTTTTCTTGATCCCAACCTTCAAGCATCATTAGAAGATTCTTTGTTATGAGCTTTGCAAAGGATCCATGACTTCAGTTCAAGATACTGTGGTGTTCTTGACAAGAATGTGTGGCTAACTGATTATGTTAGTCTTGGGTGGAAAGACATGCCCGTAATGTTCTCTCTCTTTCTACTACCTTATATTGACTTTTCAATTTAGATCCTTCATTATATAAGAGTAACATCAGCAAAATTTCAATTTTAACTGAACTGTATCAAATATTCATGTTGATCGCTGCAGTCCCACATGCACTACATGCACAAATACACCAAGATTTCATGATTATTAAAATTGAAGAAACAGGAATGTGCTTTAAATGTGTGCAATATATAAATCTAAACCAAGCTAATAAAAGAAATGAATTCTTTCCCAAGTTAGCATATATAATATGCCCCTACTTGAGCTCATGGCCTGATGCACAATTGTAGCCTGGACTACAGAAAAAGAAGAAAAAAAATGTGTCTGCCTTAGATTGCTTCACGTCATTCTTTTTTTCTTATTGACATAAGATGCAAAGTGTAATCTTACATTGTATCCCCATGTATTTGGGGTCAACAGTTGAAGGTTACAGCAAAAGCCGACCCCATGCACATTCCACTGGGATTTGGAAATAAGTTGAATACTCCTAGTTTTTAGTTTGTTATTCGTTCACCATATCAGGCTAGCGCAAAAAATAAGCATAGCATAATTTTGTTTAAACTATAAACCTTCCTTCATTAAAAGGTAACCTACACATCCTCCTATACCACGAGAAAATCGTAGTTATGGATCTTTTGTGGTAGCAGCTTAATGGGACTCGCAGCTTGTTCGGTCAGCTATATATGACTGTTTGGTAGTGGCTTAATGATATAGAAAGTGGCTTATTCAGTAAGCTTTTCGGAGGGAGCTTTATGCATAATGCCAAGTTTTTCCAAACATGCGCCTCCTAATTAAAAAACACACTCCTACCATCTATGAAAGCCCCCTCCCAAACAAAAACCTTCCAAATCTATACGGGCAGATTACTCCACCCAGATAACTTTATCCATACATGACTTAAGGAAAAGACAGGGCCTTACAAACCATAATACAATATCAAATCATGTTAGAAAGGTGACTTGACAAAGATTGGGTTGTTATTTCGTGACACAATAATGCCTAATCTGTTAACATTTATAAAACAAATCAAATACGCAGAAAAGGAAGGAAACCAATACTAAAGATATGAGAGGAAGAAAGAAAGCAACCATGGTAGCCAATGTCCAGCCTTTTCCTGCAGACCAGTCTAAGGAGGGGCGTAAATCCTTACAGAATGCTTCATGCACCCCCCCTTCTCCTGCTGGAGCCATTGGCAACTCAATCTACAGAAATGTAAACAAGAACACGTATCAAAAAACAAGAGCAATACAGTTGGTCAGTTGCTGCAAGGAAAAAATAATTCCTTCTCCACAAGAACAATGAACAATTTCTCTCACATTCGTTGCAATTTAAATGCTATCTATTTGTCACATTTAACCACTGACTGTTAACATTATTTCAACATAAGGGCAAAGTTGAATTGCTAGTTTCGAAAAAGTAGAGACTGACTCCTGGAATTAGAAAAATTCTTTCAAAAACAGTCAAAAATGTTTAAAATTCCAAATTATTTGCATTAGACCTCTTACATTGTAAAATTTAGTCAATAAGCTTCCTTACTTAAACTAAGTGTCCTATGACCAACAAGTTTCTCATAACTTGAATTTAGTCCATATATCTAAAAAGCTAGATGCTTATTCCAAGGAGACAGATAATGAAATTGAAAATTGTAAGTGGTATGCTTCATTAACAAATTTGTTATAATAACTTTTCTGACTATTCAGATGCAACTTTTAAGAAAAAATAACACCATAAAAGAATTTAAAATAGAACAACCCAGTATATCCCACTCGAAATGGTGGGGGGATGTATGCATACCTGTCCAGAGCCCAAAGGGTAGAGCGGTTGTTTTTTTGAGAGACTACATATGACAAGTAGTTCGAAACTGGCTATTCCACGTAGGAAAAATAATATATATTATTGGATATTCTGGTTACTAAGTTCAAGTCCTAAAGAGCTATCTGCAATACAACAACGCACAAGGATTTTGGGTCACCAAATGACATGTCAAATGGAAGCCCTAAAAGAGGTTGAAGGTCTGCATGAGATTGAGGCAGTGACTCCACAAATCCACATAAGAGAAATAGAGATAAAGATATAAAAAGATAGTTAACAAATCATCCTCACTATATTTTTGGAATGTTTTGGAATTCTATAATTTTGAAATAAAGATAGTTAAAGATCATTCTCACTATATTTTTCAAGTTAGCTGTCCAAAGTTGTAGAAGTGGTATACTTTTGCCAGCAAGCATTAGATACCAATAATAGATCTTACATGAAGAGGAGAATTTTAAGGAATTTAAATAGCTTCAACATGGTTGTAAATCAAACCTGACTAACAAGTAAAGTTCTGGAAAATATATCTCATGCCAGAGAATGAGAAAGATCTCAAAATGGTTTTAGAACATCATGAACCATGAATGCATTTTTCATCATCAATAATGTGGATCCCAGATCTAACAGCAATTCAAGAAACAAACTGTAATTGAGAGATTCTGAATACCTGAGATCTTTGAGAGCTCAAGACACTTTGTACTTTGTTTACATCAATACACATGCCGGCATACTTGAATCTATTTATGTGTTCTTGATTTTGATCTAACTGTATTATAGGCTTGAATCTGGGTTGACAATTTGGTATCAGAGCAGAATCGAATCATCTATTCGATACGATCATTCTATCTACAGCAGAATTCAAGCAATTTTTTCTGTTTTGCAATGGAACAGTACTCACATGAACTACAGCATCCTGTTCGACATTTTGAGCTTAATTTGACTAAATTCACCATGATTTTAAGTGTTCTAATCAAATTTGTGCCAAAGTATTTGTTTTCTGGTGAATTCCAACACATTTTGATTATCAATTTTGGGTTAATTTGACAAATTTTGATGAATTGATGATTTTTTGGTCGAAATGTGCCTTGATACTGTCAGATCTATCCTCATCCCTCATTGAATGTTCTTGTTGAGCGATAAAGGGTTGTTCATCGCCCATTGAAGATCTGAAGCTTGTGTTTTGTGCGATTTAAGGGTGTTCATCAGCTAATATGAATGTTGGTAACTTGGATTTTTCTAAACTGTGTTGAGCGATATCTTTTGGACTTGGTGAATTTTGGTAAGTGTTGAGCGATAACCCTTGTCATCGCCCAAAGCACTGTCCGATAAAGCCTGCTCATCGTCCAAGTCATGGGGCTTAAATGATGCTATCCGCACAATGTATTGAGCGATAAAGGTCCTCATCACCCAACATATCAGGCGATGAAGAGTTGTTTGGTGGGCAATGACCTTAAACAGTTTGCCTTGTTACTTCAAACATCATGAGCGATATAGAGTTGCCCGATAACCTCCCTATCCGCCCAAAGCTTCAAGCGATGATCCTTGCTTGTTGAGCGATGAAAAGAAGTTGGTGTATATCCGCCTAAGGCATGGACGATATTCTCGTTCACCGTCCAAGGTATGAACGATAACACATGGGCGATATACAGAGTTCATGCGTATCCGCCTAAGGCATGAGCGATAAGATGGCAAATCCATCCTCATCGCACATCTCATGAGTATCTGTTCTACGACTCTTTGTGCTTAATATGTGTGCTTAATAGATTTCGTTGCCCAATTCACCTTGTGCTTATTGATTAAGGTGATGTTTTATCATTGTTGCCCTTGAGAAGCATCAAACAGCAACATTGTCAATTTTGAATTTTGTAAGTCAAATTTGGTCAACCAATTTGGGATTAATGTTTTAAAGCCGGATTTGAATAGATTTCAAAAATGTTTGATTGGTTTTGGTATTTGATTGGACTAGTCAGAGTTTGAGTATCTGCAATCTTTACTCTGGAGTTTTTCTACAAGAGGCTAGACCATTGAGTGTCTTCAATCATTTCTTTTGGACCTGATCAATCAGAGGTCTTGAAGGTTTGCAATCAGAGTTGTGGAGGTTCTGGAAATTATCAAATCTTTGAGTGTTCTCAGTCATTCCTCTAACCTGATCTATTAGAGGTTTGATAGTCTACAATCATTGTTCTGAGGTTATGGCTGTGATCTAGAGTTCTGGGTGCCTATAATCACTCTTCTGGCTGGGAATTTTGAATCTGATTTTGGTTATTCAGTTTTCTGAAAGTTTGAAGGAAATCGGCTTATCTTTTCTAGTTGACTTGTTCTTGAAGCTATGTGCTTAGTGTTGATACTTCTCTCCGGTTTTTAATGCCAGTGGTGTTTGCTTTGGTTGTTTCAAGCTGATGTTGTTACCCCATTTTGTGAGCTTACCAAGATCAAGTTCTTAAGTTGAATGCTTATTCAACTCGTGGTTCACAGAAAGATTCTTTGTTGCAAGACTGTTTGCACTAGAATGTCACATAACTCGCACATTTATCTATCCCATAGTTGGATGAATTAGCTGCTTGTGGGCAAAGTGGTGATTCTGAGGTTCAAGGTTGAGTTGAGTTATCTGCAGTTATATGTACTTTGTGCAATCAGTGGTGCTGAACTCACATTGGATCTTATCTTAAAGTTGAAATTGAAGAGTAAGAGCTTTATTTGGGGGGGAGCTTGAAGATTTCATCAATGTCGGGCACACCAAAGTTTTCTTAAAGAAAGCAGGGGGAGAAGACTTAAAGGTTTCAAGAGATGCTTGCTTTATAAAACTTTGGGGGGAGATTGTTTGGACTAAAATAGTCCTAAGTATTAGAAAGTTTTATGAAGTCAATTACCTTGTGTATTGTAATATCTTGTAATTGGGCTTAAGGACATTAGGCTTTACATTGAAAATGTCACCTATAAATAGGTGACATGGGCTTATAATAGCTAGTTGCCATTTTGTAATCCTTCACATGAGAGTAGTATAGTGATTGAGAGAGTTTATGTTCTTTACTGTTTTCATGGATAAGATAAGTTGGCCGGTTCATCATGTTCTTGGATCATCTTCTTCATCTCTCAATTACAGTTTGTTTGTTGAATTGTTGTTAGATCTGCATCATTTTTTACTCAACAAATAATATCTTCTTTTAACACTCAGAATTAGTAATCGGATTCAAAATAGTATTATGTTGGCATGAATGCTATGTAAGATGTAAAGTAAGTGGTAACTGGCACCAGTTTTATTGAGAGTTAATGTAGAAATAATCCTTAAATAGGATTTGCTTCATAAAAATCTAAGATTTAAGTACAAAAATTTGGAATTTAGAAAATATCCTCTACTTACTTATTATAGAAAGTCAAAGATATGAAGATTTGATACTTTAGCGCTGAGCTAGAATCTAAGATGATATTATGTTTCACTAAGAATTAATGCAGAGGAGGACGATTCAAAGTGAGAGGGCTCACTCGTTTAGCAAGAGAACAGTAAGTAGAACGGATATGTTTGCTGTAAAAAGATGGGAGAGTTGGTGAGTTGTGTGCAATATACATAATATGAATCTAAAGTCTTGGACGAAGCATAATTAAATCTAACAATAAACATGCCAACAACATTACACAAATCAAGTATGGAAAAAAGGAAAATTATCAACTTGAGATAAACCCACTACCTTAACCTTGTCGTCGCTCAATACTTTGATCACCCTTGCAGACCAATAACTACTATCTTCAAACCAATCCACCAAATCCCCAACCTTCCATGTACCATCGTTAATAACACATACTTCTGAAATTGAGTTGACAGGAGGCATTTCACTTGTGTGATGCATTTGAGGATAGTGTGGCCGCATCATCAGTTGTTTTTTAATCTGCTTTGACTTCCTACCATAATGAGGCACTTCATATATTTTAGCCCAAGATATCTCTGCAAATGCAATTAAACGAAAACTGAAATCTATGTTTTGATAACGAAAAAGAACAAGAGTCTTTACAGGCACGATCAAATAGAAGTAAGTTAATGTAAACAAAGCGAATAGTAACTCAAATAATGGACCTCAATTCAGTCGTAATCTAACTACAGCATAATGTTGCATTAAATTAGTCTTCATACTGGATGCATCCAGACAAAATCAAAAGGAAATAAGTTCCTCTTGCATGTCTGCTTCCCAATAAACTAGACACAGTCATTCACCCAAAACATGTATATATAGCATCGATGTCATAACTAGCATTTCAAGTTGAACCCAGACAACAGCAACCAAAACATGGCCACATCAGTGACAAAATTATATAATTTTGGGTTTATATGCTAATTGAGTTAATTACTTTGAAATGGCTGGCAGCAACCATGAACCATGTGCTCAAGTCACTGAAAAAATATATAAGATGAGAATCTGGATTAAATTATTTATCACTCCAAATGAGTTGGGGTTACATTTAGATGTCAATGTAACAGCTCCAAAACATGCCACGTGATAATCAAAATGTAATGTCAAAAATGCTAGGTGATGTCTTACTTAGACTTAAGTCAGTGGATCCTTGGCCAATCAAGTTAACCATAGAAACTGCTAAAAACAAGGTGGAAATTTTCTGTATGAAGATAGTTGTTTTTGTTTTGTTCTTTTGCCTTCTGATGGAAATGAGCTTTCTGCTTAGTCGCTAAACTTGTATGTTAATTTATCAGATGTAGTGCTAATCACAAAGGTTTTGTTTGTTATTATTTTTGTAGGAAGAGACTTTTGTAGTATTATTATCTTGGAAAGTCAACTTTCATGTACGTCTTCACCTGAAGTTGCTATTTTTTTATACCAAGTCCTGGATCAGTGTACAAACAATGTCCTTCACCACAACCTTTCTTGATCCAAATCCACCATCTCTTTCCACTCCTCCATTTTGGTTCCATCTACTTATCTACTGGCAGCTATGCATGAGTCCTGTCAGTGAGCAATGCATTTTCCAGCTCTTAGAGAAAACCAAACTTGGGACATTATCCATTATAATTCATGTAAAGCTGATCTGGCATAAAAGGTCTGGCACATTCCATGTAGATGGGCTTACTCGGTAAATTTCCACTCGATGGAACCTTGGGTCATTATAAGGCTAGGTGGGTTGCCCTGGGTAATCGACAAGAATATGGTGCCACGAGGACACATTTTGCACTTGCTGCATCATCAGGTTGGCCACTTTGGCAACTAGATAAGTAGATACTGAAACTTGTGCTCTCGAAGAGGATCTATCCATTAAACCTCCTCCTGGACTGTTTTACTCTAGTTTTGAAGTTCGTAACTTCAACCACCAGATATGGTTTACAACAACCTTAAGAGCATGGACAAAATGTTCGGCCAATATGGTTCCCCAAATCCTCATTTCTTTGTAAGACGTCCACCAGCTCCTTGTGTATGTTCATGATATTGCATTTGACAGACTCATTAATAACTCAAAAACACCCCTATGCCCTTGTAACACCATCCATATGAAGGATCTCGGTCATGTTAAATTTTAGGACTGAAGTAGGCTCTTTGAACATATTCGTATATCAGAATAAATACATACAAGTTTTTATTGTTTTGGCCGGTCCTAGTGGCAAGTGGCAAGTAGCTTGAATATTAGATCAAACATCTCATTTGCTGTGAAAGAGATTACTGAGCCTCTGTGATCTCGATGACATACACAGCTGTCTGTTGTCAACGGTTATTCTGATTATCAGAGGTTAATGTATTTCTGCTAGGTCTCCAATGAGGCTACTAGCTATTAACGAAACCGATTGTTCCTAAAGGTTCATCTTTCTTGAGGATTCTTTGATTCATGGAAGAGTAAGAAAGAAGACTGTTTATCCAAATACTCCAGAGTCCAACACTCGTGTTATGTCCATTTCATGCTCTGAGACTGCTTCGCTTCAGCAGCTGTTAACTTAGTTGGGTTTCCACAGCCTTACAGATAGCTTATGTGTTTATCAAGTATCTCATTGTTCAGTGCCAGTAATTTCTTTGTCGGAAAATTGATGTGCCTAAAACAAGCCTCGATCGAGGATTGTTACCAATAAAACTGGCATTTAGTTTTTGCAGACTGCTTTTCCTTGCAAGTATTAGATTGTATAGATATCTCAGGAAACAAATCAATATGGCAATCAGTCCCTAATCTCTGAAAGCCGGACATTGAATTTTCTTTTAGTCTCATGAATATCAGCCTCTAATTTATGAAACGCAGCCTATAGGTCCAACCTCTATATCATGCGAATCAACCTATAGATATTAGCCTCTATTATGTATGCCCATATATTACTTAAGTGAAAAATACAGGCCTTCAGCCATACAACCAAAGATTAAATTTAAAATTCACCATTATCAATCCAATTGAAAGTTCATATTTCAATGTACTATCATTGAACTTCAATTACTATGAGGACTAATAAGTTGTATTGATAAGCATATGAAAAAGAATAATCTAAGATGATGAAAATTGAGATCAGTAATTTTTCAAGCAATGATCTCCATATCAACATTTGTTCATACAGCTAGTTAGTCAACTCACCTTCATCTGAAAAATCGTAGTACTCCAGCAGAATCTTGTTCTTTTCCAAGAAGACATCCTTGATCTGGTGAAAATTTTAGACATTGGCAGAAGAAAGTTAGATTTGTTTTACATTCCTGAGTTACTAGTTTAGACTAGCCTGTTTGCGATTGCTCAAAAGCAGTCAAACCTTTGTTTGGGCTCTTTCAATGAGCACTTAGATGTTTGGCACAAACTTGTATGCCTCTCGAAAAGGCTTGAAAGCCAAAAAGCTGGCTAAGAGCAGAAGCATCATATATATATATATATTTGATGCTTCTGTCCAAAAGCTCTTGCTAAGAAGCAAGTTTGACCAATAAATTCACTTTGCTGTCCTTGCTAATAATATATACGTTCATATACATTAAATGAAACCTACAATTATTTTAAATGAAAAAATTATTAAGGCATGTCACATATATTGTTGCTTAAATCCAACATTCGGTCAGTTCAGTTTCTCACGATGTATCATGCCAGAACATTTCTCGTATAACATATATAATTACATTTCTTATTCCAAACTTTTAGCAAAACTATCTTACTTAAATCGGGAACTCTAAAATGAATTTTAAATGAATATTTATGAAATGATCATCCTGATGGAGTTCATTCTCGTTTTGGGTCATTTATCAAACACCAAATCTGCTTATTATCTGTACTAGCAACCACCAAAAGTTACAATCTAGCTCACCATTTTACTTTCTATAGAAAAGGTATGTTCATTGATGCACATTCTCTTATTATGATTACATCCTCTTTCTTCAAAAAGAAAAAAGATGGTGCGTTTGACAGTAACATAGGTGTTTGTCATAGATTTATTCTTGTTCCTTGATCTGCTTTCTAGCGCATGCTTCTGCTATCAAGTGCAGAATCACATACAGATGAGCAATCCCGAGATAACGTTAATGTCATGAAGAAGGTATGATCAAATAAGTTAAAAACGGATAGCAGATTCAATCACTACACAATGACTTGAAATTAGATCAACAAGCAGAGAATGTCCATCAAGTGGGCTTTTCCCAATGGTCGAATACACAATGACTTGAAATTAGATCAACAAGCAGAGAGGTCCATCAAGTGGCCTTTGCCCAATGGTTGAAATCAAAGCTCTACAACCCTTAGGTTGCGAGTTCAAGTCTTCTCAAAAACACAATGTCTTAGTCTGTTTTCCATTTCAATAGAAAGGAACAAGAAGAGGAGGTCCAGTAGAATAGCATGGACTGCATGTAACCTTTTCATTGAGATGTCACAATTATGCGGCTTCCTCAGTGTTCATATAGTTTAGCGTTCATCATAGGGACATTGGTAGAGAGGTTTCAAGAACAAAAATACGGCCAAAGGTATTATCTACTACCCTTTACTAACTACAAATTAAAGTATTTGTTCATCTTAAATCAACATTGATTATGTGATTAACAGATGACAGACACACCAGCTTTCCACAAAACCTATATAGAGGAAATGAAGCACTGTGAGAACCTTTAGCATCTGAACATCAGATGGGTACCTTCATTCATCCCCTCCCCTCCCCCCCCCCCCCCCCCCCCCCAAACCAAAAAAAAAAAAAGCACACACACACAAAAAATTAGACATCGCTTATCAGGAAATTGTTTACTTTGTGGGGTTAAGGTTAACAGACATGTGCCTAAAGACAAGTACTGGTGACTTTGAGGAAGGGAGAACATTCCATATTTGGAAAAGCATAAACAAATATGTAGAACATTCAATATTAGGACGTGCATCATCAGGAAGTTGCCCTCACCCATGAAGTTCTTTTGTTCCTTCTTGACTAAAAAATGTATATTATCTCTAATTGAGGCTCCAGCTACTCTACCCACATTGCAAAGCTATACCAAAAAGGTGTAGCTCATCTAGCTCCATGTGATTCAGCTCAGAACACAAGTACATTAAAGCCTGCTGAATCAATTCGTAGGTATGGGAACAGAAGTGTACTAAGCCAATTGAATGAAAAAACTACCTTGCATCTGAACCAAGCACCACGAAATCCCCGGACAAATGTTCTCATTTCAGCCAGTTGGCCCACTTCTAAGTGCAGAACACCAAGCTTCTCCATTCTGCTGCACCATTGAAAGGTCAATGTTGTAAGCAATTTCTTTGATGAGGATATGAGTACAATAATTTACAGCAATACTGTCATGCTAATTAAGTCTCTATAAATGTATATACAAGGACCATAGACTTCAACAACAAAAACTTCAAATCTGAACTTATGCCCTTCTTTTATTTTATTTTGGACCAGCTTCACCCACATCCACCTTGGCCTTAACTTAGAATCTGTGTACATGCATGCCTCTGAAAGTACCATATTATGTGAACAGACATGAAGACTGAGATTATTAACCTACCAAACCAAACAAAATACAACAAAAGTAACTGCAAAGCAAACTGTTGAAGTCCTCTATGGATTCCATGTACAGTTGAAAGTAGTGTGGCCTATATAAGGGAGATACAAAGCTCCACAAACTTGACATGGCAGAAATATTAACTTCAGACTCTTCCCAGCATATCATAGCCTTCATCTTCTCTCATCTCTTCACTTTAATTCTTTTTTTCCCTCCAATACCATGAACTTGTCCAATGTCCAGATGTGGTACTAATGTGATTGATACATAAATGGGTAGGGAATAAAATCATTTGTTACTTGTTACCTGTTCGTCTAATCAAATTTCAACATGTGTAAAGGTATGAGGCCAATACTAATCTGTATAGGGAGGCTATCTAAATGTAGGCGAGAGCATATCTAGATTAAATGGTAGTGAGGGAGAGAGAAAAGATGATGTGTCAACGTCTTATTGAATTTGGAGGGACATGGTGGGAACAGGGAAGGGGTAACAGGAGATTTTTTCCAGGATTAGGACGCGGAAACGTGAGATTAGTTTGATAAATGTTTCACTACCAAGCCTAACAAATAGATTGAATCAACGATAAAGTACTTAAACACCACCAAGATTAATCAAAGTGGCAAAAGTTGAATACTATTAGTGATGAAGCAATAGTACCACTGCCACACTAATAGCAACCAAGAATTGACTCAGTTTGTGTATAAAACTGTAACGCCCCAAATCCTAAATCGGGTGCCTTTACTTTATAATTAAAACTACGAAGTCTTGAATATGAGCTTGAAATTTAACTTTATCTATAACATAGCTTATAATTACATCAAAGATAAAATACTAGCAAAAACGTAACTCAATAGCTTATAATACAATATAACTCGCTATTGATTAGTAAAATACTACTTCATGCAAATCTTCTTCACTCCTACCCTGAGATATATACATGAGATATATAAGCTAAAAAGCTTAGTGAGTAGTTATGGTTTCATGAATAAACAATTTTCATGATGCTAAACATTTTGTGAATAGTAATTTACTAAAACTCTTGATCATGCACAAAAATAATCTTTTTATCATGCATAAACATTCTTTTGAGATCTCACTTGAAACATGTAAGTATGCCATACTTGTCTTGAGGTTTGCTAACCCCGGGTCCATAAAGGCTGCCCCATAAGGTCCGTTTGCAAGACGTCCCTTCTTGTAATATCCCGTACGTTGGATATTTATGGTCATAGATAACATGGAAAAACATTCATGCCTTGTGTAACATACACTTGTATCATAACATGTAAACACTTTCATGCCTTCTGTGTAAAACACATACATGTACCAAAACATGTCATCATGCATATCTTGAATATATATAAATGTATAACATTTTCATGTAAAGCAAACATGCCAAAATATCTTGTAATGCATAAAATACTTTTATATAGTATGTATGTACCTCATAAATCTCATAAGTACCCACCTTAATTATGCCTAGCTTTTCCCTAAATTCCTTTCTTCAAGCTTGATTATGTATAAAGAGAGAGATTTCTTATTTCTAGTATGGAGCTAATAATAACACTTCAACCTTTATTTATAGGTAAATTCATTGCATTAGCTACTTGTTCTTTTTGCTCTCAAACATGTACTCTTATGAGAGTTTTACACCTCCTACTTGAAAATAAGAGAATCTTGACACCTCGTATTTCTAGGAAGAGAATCTTGACACATCATTCTCCTAGTATTTCCTTGTCATGCTTCTTAGACTTGCTTTGTAATCAAATAGTTTTGCCAACTCATGCTTTTAGCCTTTACAACTCATCACTAGCTTGCTTAGTCATGCTTACTAGACTTGCTTAGTCATCACATAACTTGCCAACACACTTCTAGCTCTTACAATTCATCACCTTAGGTTTGATTTCTCATGTTTTGCCTTGTAAGCTACTTGTAGACTACTTGTAGACTACTTGTAAGCTACTTGCCTTGAAAATATGATAATTTAATAGATGCTACAGCTGCTTGAACCTTTTTAGAGTACTTAAATTGCTCATGATATTTGTATTCAAGGCTTAAAACATTGAAATTTAACAAATAAAAAACTAGGGTGTTACAAAAGCACTCAAATTAGCTCCACAAGCCGACATTTATTCAAAATCAAAAGATGTTTTTTATAATACAACTTGGGAGCCATTATATAGGGGTGGAAAAACAATGCAACACCGATTTCTTCGGGTTCTCTTTTTTTTAGATCTCCAGTGTACCTCCCTCTATAGTGTGTGGGGGTATGAAGCATCCACAACCAAGAAAATTGATATTCAATATTCTCCAAAGTCTTAATGTTGTAAGACTTCACTTGTTCTAAATGCTTTATGCAAAAGTAATGGAGAAACTTAGACTAGTTATGTTAGGATATGGGTAAAAATTGGACTTCGCTCATAAAAATATTCAATAGAGTTTTCACACATGCGTGAATATATGAGAAAAAAGTGTACACGAGTATACAAGTTCCTGAATATATGGAATAAAGTAAAACACTTGTATTCAAGTTCCTATCAGACAATTATACCAACAAATTTAAGATGCAATAATTGCTTAAAAAGAAGACAATGATTTGGGCTATTCAATCAACTAGGATGAGTAGAGCATCAAGTTGAATATGCATTCATATGGGTACATTGTAAAGCAACTCTGTTTTAACAGAGCTTTGGTCAAGATATAAAGAAATAAATAAAAAAACCAATCAACTGGGATGAGTAGAGCATTTAGTTGAATATTAAGTAGGCTTTCGTATGGGTATATGTGGTTTAGAGAATAGGGCCTAAGAGGCATGGATTTCAAACTTGTGTTTCTCCTTTACCCAACACCATAGTGCCCTGGACCAAACAGAAGCTATTGCAACTACAGGTATGATGATTAGTTTGAGCTTGGGTTCCAAAGTTAAGAGTGTCTCCCGGAGGTCCCAGTTCAAATACTGAAGTTTAAATGCTGTGAATTCGGGTTACCCCAAAGTGGATGGTCAAAACAGAAGCTATTGCAAAATCTGGGTAAATTTTGAAATGCTAATTGCTGTAAGTCTATAAAATTAACACATTCCGGTTATTCATGAATGCACTAGGGTACGAGCTCTCATATCCCCAATTTGGGGTTTTGATGGGATTAGGGTCCAACCACCATCGTTAAACAAGAAAATTAGCAAGTATATAACATTAATCCCATAAATTAAACATCGTTAACCTTCGATCGCTCCGAAAATACTGAGCCCTAGCTTGATTTGAACAGCACCTTGCCTTAAGATGGTAGCGGTTCGCTCAAATCCCAACCGTTTCTACTTCTCGTACCAAATCGATGGCCTTTCTTCCTCTTTTCTTTTTAAAAGAAAATTTTGTAGGGATCATGCGCCATTTTGCATGAAATAGTACTTTATTTTGTTAAGAATTCCTATTTTCATTAACATATTTTATAAACTATAAAATACACGAAATAGTAACTTATTTTTACAAATTTTCTTATTATAGTATTTTAATTTCAATTTTTTTTATTACACTAACATACATTCAAAATGTTTTTATTAGGGTATCGTACTTTCAAAAATTTATCCGTTATAGTATTGGGTAACCTTTGAAATTAAATTTACCAATTATATCAAGTTTCTTTGTTACCTCATCGTCCACGTAGGCTGTTCACATGTACGATAGTGCTGACATGACATTTCTTATTATAAAATTATATTTTCAAAATTACTTTATTATAACATCATCAATTTTGTTGGAACCCAGATTCCTTTTAATTAACAGAAAACACAGTAAAATCAGAGTATGAATAAAATAGTAACTGTGTAACTGAAATGGTTTAACAAAATATTCAAAATGAAAGTAGGAATGAAAAACGGACTTGAATAAGTCGGAAGCTTTTATTAGATAATGAGTAGTAACAATAAAACTCTCAATCTAATTGTATTCTCACAAGAACTATATTCTAGAGCGTAGTCTAATTTGGCACTTTCAGGTAACTTATAACCTGAGGAGGATGCCTCCTTTTATATGACTAAGCTAAAACAGAATCTTCTACAATTTTGGCTTCGAACTCTGAGTTCTTGTTCCGCGTTCTTATCGTTCACGTTCCTTGGAAAGTGGAGCGGACTGAGTCAAGCGTTCTAGATTCTGTTAGGAGTCTTGCGGAAAAGTCTGAACCGAGCGTGCAATCCACGGGAGTAGGAGACTCAGACCCGAACCAAGGAATCCCTTAGATATGATGCAAAATGGATCCGTGAAATTCTTTTTCCTTTCCGCAGGGACCAGAAGTGACTTCTCCAATCGGGGAACGCATTAAATATTTACCTAAACCGGTACCCAAATAACGAGAGATATGTAAAAAGCAGGTCCGATTACGCCTATCAGGGTTTGACAGAAGAACTTTCTAAGTTTCCAATAATCAAGAATATAGAAAAAGGGGCGGGTTTTCTGATAAATGATCATTATAAGTCAGACTCAATAAAATTTGATCAATCCCTTTTTCTGTATGTGTGTTGAGTGATGCATCTGTATCAAATACTTAACATTTTTGACGCTTAAGTCTTGATCTTTCTCGTGGTAGAGCACGGACTCTGTATATGAGACACTTAGCTCTTTGAGTAAAGCTCTGTCTCTTGATATCTTCTGCTTAAGAGCTCTTGGTCTAGACAGCTTCAAAAGACTAAGTCCTAATGACTAGAGTAACAAGCTTCTTACTTACACTTTTACAAGATGGGATCTAACAATCTCCCCCTAAGTGTAAATAAGTCAGACTCTTACTAGAATGAAAATACAAGTCTAATCGAAGCCAGAGGTCAAAAAGGACCTCTGTATTACATTGACTATTTAAAGTTTTTACAATACGATGAAAGGAAATTACATGACTTGAAAGAAAAACAAAAGATACCTATTACTTACAAAGGTAGAGGCCTAGATATGTTGGAGCTTCATGAACCTCCTAAGAAGCTCACGAAACTCTGGTACATTATCGATAGATCTGACTAGATTGCTCGTCCTCTCTTTTGCGCCAGTGGTTGTATCTCTGCTTCTTAAAAGGTTATTCTTGATGTACCGCAGAATTGAATTGGAATACTTGAAATGTTGGTCTTCATGGAAGAACACCTTCTTGCCTTGTTTATTCCTGAAGACCACCCCGTGTTCTGGTTCCACCAGCATCGTCCAGGAGGGGATGTGCTTTATGCCTTCAAAGTCTTCGTTAGGCGCTGTGACACTTAGCTGGTCTATCCCCATATCCAAAGTAATTTGAAAGTTGAGCTTACTCCGATAGTCAAGAAGGTCCGTCATTGTTTGCCTTATCGCGGAGTTAGCCAGAGCATACTTCATACCTTTGTCCTTCTTGTGGTCAGTGAAAAAATACAGAGAAAGCAGATCCCAGGGATTAAGGTTTATTAGATTGCAATCCATGAAGGTGCAGATCTGCCCATGAGATCTTTCTACTGTATACTCGTGGAAGATTATCTGATTGTGGGCAAAGGTCCTCTTTCTAATGTCCAAAATCTGATTGATGTCGTCCACAGAGTGAACTACAGAGATTGGTTGTGTGAATTGTTGGATGAAACTCTGCCTTATGTTCTCCTGAGCCATCGGATGAAGGTTCATCTTCTGAGTAGGCACCTCATTCCTCTGGCGGTATAGGTATTGAAATAAATCTTCGCTGTCGGCCGTGTCTTTGATAGGCTTCTCCCGTGGTATGGGCCTCATCATCACATCCATTTGGTCCTTGATCTCTTGTACTCGATCAGAGGATGGTTTGGAGCTCCGAGGTCTGCTGTTGCTTGCTCCTTGCTAGCTTGCTCTGACTGGACCCTCCTGCCTTAGAGCAGGCGTTATGTTACGAGAATTATATAAAACAAATCTCTTAGACTGCTAACAAATGGAGACTAGTGAAAGTATACACTCATCAAGCCACTATCGTCTTTCACAAGTAATAAAGTGATAAAAATACCGAATATCGTCCACAGAAAAAAAAAGAATAAAAGTTCGTTTTAATAGTATAAATAAAGATATGATCTCAGATGATGAATTCGAGGAAATATTTGTGGTGAGTTAATTAAACACTACTGTTGTGAATCAAGTAATAAAAGAAAGCTTAGGGTGTAGGGATTCGTTAAGATATTAAACTGATTTTTAAGTAGACAGCATGCTACAGCATGGTTCTATAGCATGCTTTATAAATAACTTATCTTTACAACTAATAGTTTCTTTAAGGTACTCTTTCGAGATGTAGAATGGCATACAGTCATAGATCAAGCCCTCATATCTCTATGCAAGGCTGGAGTCTCGACATTGGCTCAAACTATTCCTTTTATAAGTTAAATGGAGCGAAAACGAGTCTCCTCGATTCTAAGTAACTCTCTCGAGCCTACTTCCATATCATTCAAGTTGACGTGTGCTTGTTGCTCTAAATCCAACACACTTTAACACTTTTAAACAAGTGATCAACTTGTCCATGGATGATGTTTTTGTAATAAAAACTTGAATGATGTAGTTGTAAATATTTATAATTTATACTGCTACAAACGGAATCGGTCTTTATTTTAACTTCACCCAACACCCAAGCTATATTTTTAGTCTAACATACTTGAAAAATTAATTGCATAAATAATAATGCATAAGAAAAGGAAGCAACGTAGAAGAAATAAATGTTAAACGTAATTATAAAAACGTTTAACACTATTTAAACTAGAAAAATTAATTGCATGAATAATAATAAAGCATAATAAGTAGAGCATAAGAGAATAAAAGAAATAAACGTAAAGATGAATTATAAAGAAGAAAAATAAAATACTTCTAAATACAACTTCATATCAAAAGAACCTTCAACATCTACTAGATTGTTTCTCTAGGATTGTTTGCATACCAATTACTTGTCTACAAGATACTTGTCTTTTCAAAGCCAAGCCTCCCGCCTTTATATAGTGGAAGAAAGGAGGACAAGTGCCCAAAAGATAGAGGCTTTACCCAATTTTTTTACATAGTCCAATGGGTCAAGCCTTGCTACCTAGATAACAATAAAAATCAGATCTTAGATTTGTACTATGAGATCTTAAAATCTGCAGGAGATGGGCTGCCAAAAAGGGGGGATTTGACCTCAAAAAATTCATGTACTATTCTCAAAAGTGCCCGTGGAATCGTCCTGCAGCACATGTTGTAGCATGCTTCAGTCAAATACCTATCAACATGGCTATTTTTCTAAAAATCAGCACATATTCAAGAAGTAAACATGTTTATCACATTAATTTAGCTCCAATATAAAAAAGATAGAAAAACAAAACAAAAAGACTCAATTTGCGGAATTTTGGGAGAATAAAATAGGTAAATAAAGTAAAGAAAAAGTGTAAAAGTATCAAATAAATTGATACTTATCACACCCCCCAAACTAGAATTGTTGTTTGTCCCAAACAACATAAAAAGACAAATAAAAGATTCAAATTAGATAGAAAAAAATGGGCATCGACACTTACGACTACCATTTTCTTGTTATAAATAGCTTTTCGTAAATCAAAGTGGAAGTTGTTTTGTACCAATCACATTTATATACTATAGGCTAGCCTCACTATTCCTTCGTCTGATTTTTAAACTTGTCATCTCTTAGGATCAAAAGGATTTTTTGGGTTTCTTTCTTTGGCTTTTTCTCTCTCACATAATTTTGCATTTTTCTTGAATAAGCATTTATTTATTTTGTAGCCATTTTCTTTTTGCATTTTTGCTTTTGGCTTTATAATGCTTTTCTCTCTCTCTTTTTTTTTTGTAAGAGCTTTGCTCTTTTTGACAAAGATTCCCCCCAACTTAGATAGGACAATGTCCCCATTAAGATATATATATATATATATATATATATGTGTGTGTGTGTGTGTGTGTGTGTGTGTGCATGTGTGGCTTAGTGGGGTGCAAGGGGGTGTATAGGGCTTTGCCCAATTATGTAGAAGAGATGGTCTAGATCATATCCTAAGTAGTGATAAGTGAAATCAAGTTGCATCCCGAAAAAGATTTGACTAGTTCTAGTATTGCAATGTAAATTAGCACTCAAACTCACATCACTTTTAAGTTACTCAAGCTATAAACACAAGTCGGTGATAGTGAAGTTTAGGCCATAAAGTTTCATCTAAAAAAAATCTAACACTAAAAAGACTGACACGGACAATTCCCAGACTCATGGAAAAGGAGAAAAAATATAAAGGAAAAAGTAAATTGGAGCTAAAAAGAAGATAGATAAACCTGTGTACTTGGGTGGAGTATGTGCCATCAATGGTCCTCAGTGCGCCGGGATATCCCGGCAAGCATGTCCTTCAGATCGGCCATAAGTCGTGCATCTCTTTCTTCCATCTTCTTCAAAAAGGTTTCTTCATGTGTCTTCA